CCCCCCCCCCCCCCCCTATTTTTTATTATTTTAATTTTCTTTTCTTTTTTTCCACGTTTTATTCTATTTTTTTCCAATTCTCTTGATCTTGACACAGTTTTATTCCTACACAGTTAAAATATAATATTAAGCACAAAATAATATAACTAATACTCAAATGACGATTAAAAGTATTAGAATATGAGACAATAATAATTAAATATATGGATTTTTGGCCTAATATCAAGTATTTTTGAAATTTATCAAGTTTAGATGTAAAAAGAACAAAGAACATGTTCTTATTCTCAAATTTGATTGTAGAAGTATTGGTCTCGTCGTTCTCCACCTTCTGTGCTCTCCTATTACTTATAAATTTCATTTATTTAACAAAATAAGAATACAAATCAATTTACCTATTACATTTCTCTATAGTATAATGGATTGGTTGTTGAACTCAACAAACTGTTCAAATAACATAAATTAAAACGAATAAATTGATGGTAATATAAGCTTTAGTTTATATCATTTTAAACTTTATGGGGAAATTACATATATTCATATCAGGAAACATGTGTTAATAATTTAGGAGATAGAATATTAGATAGTGCATTAATTATTTAAACTACAGATAATTCAAAAATTAATACCCTTTTTGTCCATGAAAGACACCTATGAAACAACTTTCATAGGAACCTCTATAGGAAAAATTTAAATTAGGAGTCAACTATTAAATGAGTGGTTACAGTAATAGGATTTTATTCGTTACATCCAATGAATGTATACTCAAGATAGAAAAAATTTCAAATCATAATATAATACTACAACTAATTGAGAAATAAAATCAATGACTGCAATTTGAGTTTAATTTCTTCAAGGATATTAATTCATTTTCCTGCCAAAACAAAAATTTTGTATGCCATTTCCCAAATTTGAACGTTTTGTCAAATCTATAAATAACAGGAGTAGTGAAAGAACATCAGCACAAAAGCACAGAGGTAGAATTGTTATCTGCGCTCTTCTGATTAAAATGGCGAGGTAAATAAAAGTTCCCCTTTCTCTTTCTTTTTTGTTTTTTCAATTTATTCTATAGAGTTTATTCAATCTGTGGCGACTTTATCTTTGATTTTCTTTTTTAAGAATGGGTTTTCTTGTTTTCTTTTTAAAGTCTTGAATGTTTTATGTAACATTCGCTAAGAAGTGTACTAATCTAATTCATTTAATGCATGTTTCTAGTATAGAGTTCTCCTTTGACGTCCCTCATGAATTTTTGTGTTAAACTTACTAAAATTCAGGTCATGGTTAATTAGGTTTAGAGCAAAATTTTGACTTCATGTTGATCGATTTTTATGTGCGTTGAAATTCTTAGTTATATATGATTATCTTTAAAGTGACATAGACAGGATTGGAAGCTATTTGTTCACCTATAACCCTGGACCATTGTGGTTATGAAATAAAGGGTTGTCTCTATTGGCATAACTAAGTTTTGTAGAGTTTAAATCCAGATTTTATTATGTTTTAGGGCAAAAATTATACTCTCCCGCATTAAGTATTTACATCAAATGGTAAATCTTCAAATTGACATAGATACGAAGGTAATTGTTCACCTATAACCATTGTGAATATGAAATAGAGGGTTGTTGCAATTGAACAAGAGTTTTGTAGATTGTTCAAATCCAGATTGGATTATGTTTTAGTGAAAAGACTTACCGCACTAAGTATTTACATTAAGTTAAATTAATTTTGCTATGGTTAAGTCATAATAAAGGTATGAATGCGAATTAATCAATTTATTTAGTGATAAGAGTGTATATGAAGACATGTGTCATATATTCATCGAAAAATTGGTGTAAGTTAATTTTTACCTATTTTTAACTCTATCCCGTGTTCATTATTATGCTGTTTCATTTATGTGAATCTCACTTTAGAAATTCATTCAATTATCGTTGTTCTAACTACTAGCTTTTCAATAACCTTTAATTTTTTTTTTTTCCAAAGCAATGACCTTTCATTTAATTTACCCTCAACAAAAGATAAAAGAAAAAACTCATTCTTGTTTTTCCACAACTTATGTGCTAATAAAATTTGAAACTGTTTTGTAATCAGATTATTAAGAAAGAATGGTGGCAGTAGAAAGAAGAATCATTACAGTGACGGACTTGGCCGTATAGACAGGATATCCGACCTACCAAGCAATGTTATCGATGAAATTTTATGCCGTATGACAACCAAAGAAATAGCGCAAATGAGTGTTTTGTCCAAAAAATGGTACCATATCTGGTCCACCCATCCAGTCATTGTGTTAGATCGTCAATTCCATGAGGACATAAACCAAGACGATTCATCAGTCACTTATGGCGGATTCAAAAACATCGTCAACAAAATACTGTTGCAACACAATGGCCCTATTGTCAAGTTTTTCCTTGACTTATCAATTGCTGATTTAAACGATTGGGACATCGATCATTGGCTACGTTATGTCTCTAACAATGGTGTTAATGAACTCACCATTGATAACTCATTCCAATTTCCATATAATTTGCCGCATTTCTTGTTCAAGTGTGCCAAGTTGAGTTATTTGAACGTTACCAATTGCAACTTCAAGTTGCCACTTGCCTCAACATCATTTCAGAATCTTGTTAGGCTTGATCTAAAGCTAATGTCTTTTAATCAAAAGTTGGCGCAAAACATCCTTGAGGCTCCACTTCTGTTGATCTTGATGATTACTGGTTGTGATGGTATCCAATTCCTTAATATCTCCGCGCCACGGCTACTTTGCCTGCACATTGTTGACAGTCATTATGTGGATTTGAAGCTTCTCAAAGCCTGTCCTGAGCTGAAAGTGGTGACTATTGTGACATGCAACAGAATCTATACCTATGAATATTGGAGAAAGTTTACCTTGTTTCAGATGATTGCTTCATTCCCTAAACTTACAGGGTTTTGCTTGGATGGACTTTTTTTCAAGGTAAACTGTACAAGCGTACTTATTGTTTTATTCTACGTACTGATCCATAGTTTAATTTATAGTTGTATTGAAATCTTGTACTAAATTAAAATTCCCCTCTCATGCTTTTATATGGTTTTCTTTTAAAGTTTGTAGTTCCAACTGTTGTTCCAAAGAGGCTTGAGGCTCCACTGGAGCATTTGGTGGTTCTTAAATTAGGGTTTTGTTTTGCTGATAAAGCTCAGATTTCAGCAGTTATTTGTTTAATTCAAAGTGCTCCCCAGTTGCATACACTTGAAATCCAGGTAATTACTCATGAATCATTGAAGTATTTATTTATCATGTTGAAGTTACATTATTCCTTTTTGCAAGTAGTACAAAATCATTCAAGTTTTAATTAATGAATTATTGAGAGACATGTTTCCTTTTATTTTAAACATTTATTATACTTAGAATTGACTAATCCTTATAAATGAAAAACCTTTGCACATAACCTATTTATAGGCTAGGAAATTATTTGGAGCACAATAAATAAATCACACGAATGCCTTGATCCTTCCATCACTATTTATTGTACTATCAACCAAACACCGCTAATAGTACCTATGCGACTTAACTGATTTTGTTTAAGAAATCATATGTGCTATATAATGTGTACTTAATATATGGTCAAAGTGATGCAGTTCATTTATCATATGAATGGTAGCTAGGTGAGTTTATATATAATGTATGTTGATTAATACTCTTAGTTGTAGTTATTTTTTTATATTTTGACTCCCTAGAGAATATATATCCTAGCTCCACCTATGATTAGGTTAAAATATGTACAACAACTATTTATATGGTTGGTGTATATAATTTAAAAATACTTTTCTATATATGCTACTATTAAATTTTCTTTTTTTAATCATCTTAATATGCTATATATGTACAGGAAGAACTCTCAGATGCTGAAGATATCAACGTAGACGCAGTTACAGAGTTTCTAACAGCACCAAACTGTGTAGAACAAGATCTCATTTCACTTCAGAAGATAAAGTTAGAAGGTTATGTGAACAACACAATTGAACGTCATTTCATGAAGCTTTTGCTTGCTCGTTGTCCTTCACTTGTTGAGGTGATAGTTGTGCCTTCGAGATTCATTGAATATAATGGAATTTGGCTCTTCTTCTTCGAGTTGTTGGAGTTCCCTCGAGCATCGCAAAATGTCAATATACTGCTTGGATAGACACCTTTTCTCCTCTAGCAGACATTATTATCATTTCATTCTTCTGCTGATAAACATTTAGTTTTGGGTGATGACCCTATGTTTTGTTACATTTTGTCAATTGGAACGAGTATTATATACTCTTCTAAAGTACTATTTCAGTTTTTCTTTAGCTTGATGGTCCGGATAATGTCGACAGCTTTATTAAATTAAGCTTAAGTTCCATAGCTTTGGCTTTTTGCTTTACCAATGATGATGATAAATGGCAGGTTTTGTAGCAACTTAATCCCTTCATGTTCTATTGGGTTATATGGTATTCTTAGTTCCATTCGAGTATATTCTTGCTCGACACAGGTTGAGATGTCGGGTCATCTCTTCTCTTTATAAATCTCAGTTGGAAAGCCCCATTAATTGGAAGGCCCCATTTTTATCAGCACCCAATCAATGAAGTAGGAGCTCGCTCCTACCTAGCTCTACTTCAATGTGTTGGGATATGTTTACCTTAAAAATGGTAATTACAATTAGGTTTTTGTCTTCCTTTGAAAGAAGAAAAGGAGAAAGCCTAGCACGGTCATATTCAGCTTCAATTTATACTACTCCTTACCGTTCATGTGACGGTGTTTGATCGGACACGTAGTTTAAGAAAATTTTTTTATGAAACTTATAATTAATCTAAAACAAGTTATAAATATTTGTGTAATCATCTCACTAAGAGTAAAATTATAACTTTAAAATTTAATTATATATAAAAAAGAAAGTGTCATTCTTATTTGAAATAAACCAAAAAGAAAAGTCTGCCACGTAGCATGAGACGTGAGAGTCATATGATTATGTTTAAGAGAGAGTCATATGATTATGTTTGAGTGTATATCTTTGTTATTCCTTAAAATCAAATCACGCGTATAAGGGCAAATAGATCCATTTATCAGCTGACTACTAGTATACACTACAAGCATCTACAACTACTAATTCTTAGTTACGAATATAAATTTTCTGGCTATTACGTAATAATAGCCATAAAAATTAGAGTTTCGTGGCTCTTCACAAATTGCTGAAATTTCTTAGCTACAAAAATTAAATTGGCAAAACTAATACCTTATTTTTGCTATAATTAATTTATGTCGTGGCAATAACTGCCTAAATAGCTATAAATTTATTGCTACACTAAACATTAGCAGCTAATTATTAGTTTTTGCCACATGATTGAACTATTGTAGCAATAATAACCTTTTAGCCACGACAAGTTATGTTAAATAAAATATTGAACATCTTTGCTTCAAGTTAAAAAAAGCATGGCAATAGTGGGGTCAATAGCTACGATGGAATATCATGGCAAAATAATATAGCCATGAATTTATATAGCTACAATAAGTATTGTAGCTAATTCTAATTTTTTGCTATGCATTTGACATCACTGTAGCTATTGTAATATTCTAGCCACAATATATTTGTTTGCACGTATTTTATAGCTAAAAGAATAGTCTTGCTTCAATTTTAAAAACTCGTAGCAATTGTTGGGACATAATAGCTACATTTATTTGTCATAGTAGCTACACGTATTACAGATTGCCTTGTTAGTACCTTTATAAGGCAGAACATGAATTGAAAATTCATACTAAATTTCAGTTGTCCATGCCTGGATTTTCATTAAACAAAGAAGCATAAAATTTAACATACTATAATTGGGACGATAAGCAACAAAGCTCGGGCCATTAACGGCATTGCCATGAGCAGATTAATAATCTACAACACAACAAAGACCAAGTGAACATTTCGTTACCACAATCAAAAGGAAAAACATTTTCTTTTTAGAAAGTAAGAGATTGCTCATGTGACTCCGGATGAACTTTTATCATGGAGCAGAGGTTTTTCATAGAAATCTATACAGTACTCATGAAAACTAAAAATACAAATACAGAAGCAGTAAAATCAGCTAAAGTTTTGCTCCTATACTTGGACAGCCAAGAAAAGTTAAGCAAATCTATAAGTTTCAAATGCGCAACTTATACATCTGCCAACCGATTACTCTTGTTACTCCAACATTTTGAATTAATGAACGTATTAAAAAATACTTCACTCGCCTGAATTAGATCAATGAGAAAACCCCACATAAAAACCTTCCCATTGAAACACTTCACCCAGCTAAAATCAGTACCATATCGCACGGCTAAATGCTCAAGTATTGAAATTCTCAGCTGATCAAATAAGAAAAAGTATCAACATTAATTGAGTGTAACCAAATATGCATTTAAAACTTCTAAATATTTATAGTAACAAATCTTCATCATCAGTTTCAGGGTCTGATTCGATGTCTTCAATAATATCATCAGCTAAGGTAACATCAGTATTGATAACATCGATATCATTTCTTCTCCAATTGATAAAGTCTTCATCTTCCTCAAATGTACATGGGAAATCTTGAGCATCTTGTTGAAAAGTTTCTTCACTGACAGCACCACCCGTAAAATAAGTAGAATGACCATTCAAGACAATGGACCAATTCGGATGAAGATTATCCTTGACATAAAAAACTTGTTCTACTTGAGATGCAAGTACAAATGGTTCATTTGTTGCTAGCTTTCGGTTAGTATTAACGCTAACAACGCCATGTTTATCTATCTTCACTCCTTTTGCCGATGTGATCAACATCCATCCAATCACATTTAAATAAAATAATTCGTTTGCCTTCGAGGTATTGAAGTTCTACTATTTCAGTCAGAACACCATAATAATCTATATTTTGACCATTCATTATTCCTCGTACTAAAACACCACTATTTTGCTTCACTCTATTTCTTTCCAATTGTTTAGTATGAAATCTAAAACCATTTATTTCATACCCTTTGAATCTTTGGACTCCATCAAAAGGACCTCTATCCAAAGAATACAACCCGCGACTTGCATATGAATTTTTTCCTTGCGCATTTGCACGATCTACATAAAAATAAATAATAAAATAATGATGCTAAAGAAGTATTATAAATAACATTAAAAATACAGTGAAAACTTACTCGATGGAAAAACCAATCATCGAAGTTCATGTTCCTATTGTTCTGCTCGTACTCACTGTTTAAAATAACCATAATAATGAGAAATGACTAACAAAATTAAATTCACAATATATAATACCATAAAGAAACAATAACAACAACAACAATATGCCCAGTGTAGTCCCACAAGTGGGGACTGGGAGGGTAGAATATACGCTGACCTTACACATGCCTTTAAGAAGGCAAATAGTATGTTTCTGGTAGACCCTCCGCTGAGGGAGGGGGGGGGGGACAATAACAAGCAAACTCATCTGACAACCGAAGGCAAAATACAAAACTAGTAGTAGGTAATCAATCAAAAAATCGAAAATAAAAGACAACAATAAGTAGTAATAGAAGTCTAGGGATACCGAAAAGAAAAAACACGAAAGACACCAAATGGTGTATCAACATTTATTTTTAGGAAAGTGTTCGGAAAAAAAAAAAGCACGAGAAGAGTTTGACATTTTCTTTTAGGTGATGATTTGATTATTTACCATGCAGACCCAAAGGAAACTTTTTAAATAAAAATTGGAAAATACATGCTACATATCTAATGTGGACGATACAGTAGATTCCTCAACTAATAAAGTTCTTACTAAGGCATTTTTACCAAGATGATTATAGCCACAAAAAATCATCAAAAAGAGTTGTAACCAATATGAATCGGAAAGATTTACTTGATGAGATTTAAACAAAGATCATAAACAAGAAATCACGAGCTTATCTTCACTGGACAATTCCAAAAAGAACCATTATGGTCGAACACTTCTAACTCAAACTCTTATAAATGCTTGGATGTTACTGTAGAAACAATAGTATAAAGAAAAACAATACAGTAGAAATGGTTGAACTTCTTCACAATTTCTCAAAACATAAAGATGAGCTTGTTTTCGTTCAACCTCTTCAAGAGTTCTAGATGTATCGCTTAATAAAGGGCAACCCATCGGCTCAAACATTGATAATTCATTGCATGACTCAGCATGATCACCTTCATAACTTTTGTCTACTGGATTAAACCCTCTTCCACTTCCATGTAAATACCTTGAACAAAATATTAAACTTTCTTCAACAATATTGTGACGACCCAAAGGGTCATCACCTGTATTCCTACTCACTCTGTATTTCTGAGGCCGTGAAAACCTCACTTGGGGGTTGCCTCGAATTTGTGTGCGCAGTCCGGGCGCGTAGCCGGAACGTTTATATATGAATTTGTGGGAAAAATAATAAAATTTTGATGTTTTAATTGATTAAGTTTGACTTCGGTCAACGTTTTGGGCAAACGGACCCGGACTCGTGATTCGACAGTCCCGGAGGGCCCGCAGGAAAATATGAGACTTGGGGGTGTGCCCGGAATCAAATTCCGAGGTTCCGAGTCCGAGGAATGAATTTTTACTTGAAATGGTTTTCTGAAAGTAATTAAAGAATTGGAAAGTGTTATTTGTTTAGAAGACTGTGCTGTTGGGCTCGTATTTTGGTTTCGACGCCCGGCACAAGTCTTAAATGTAAATTAAGCAATTTTTGTGAAGTTTGGTTAGATTTGGACGTCATTTGACGTGTTTTGATCTAGAAGCAGTAAAATTTGATGTTTCGTGGAAATTGGAAGGAATCATGGGTCTTGAGGCCTAATTCGATGTTGTTTTGGCGATTGGATCGCACAGATGAGTCCGTAGGATGTTTTGGAGTTGTGTTTATATTTGGTTTGGAGCCCCGAGGGCTCGGGTGAGTTTTGAGTGGGTCCCGGGAGGGTTTTAGACTTAAAAGTATCAGAAATTGCAGGTCCAGGTATTGCAGGCCCCCAGCGCGGCCGCGATCATTTCTGCGCGGTCCGCGCTGGAAACCGCGTGGCCGCGGTGCATTTCTGCGCGGTCCGCGTGGCTAGGTTCAGAGGGCCAGTGAACTCTAGGTCAACCAGCACGGCCGCGTACCAAATCAGTGCGGTCCGCGCTGGAAGATTCAGAGAGGGGTCTTGGGTCCATCCAACCAGCGCGGCCGCGCACCAAATCAGTGCGGTCCGTGCTGGGTAGGTTCAGAGAGTCGTTTTCCCTCCTTCCTCGGCGCGGCCGCGGGATATTTTTGTGCGGTCCGCGTCGGGTCCCCAGTACAGCATATAAAGTCGGGATTTGCAGTTATTTTTCACTTTTTCAAAATCCAAAAACA